TCAGCTAGGACATGAACATTAGAACCCTTAATGATAGATTGAAGCTTTTCAATACCCAAGGTAAGTAATTTATGCTCTATTCTTCCTTTCTCTCCCACATTTATAAAGATTTAAGTTAGGGTTGAGTTGGAAAGTTATTTTTGGTCCATAGGTGTTATAGGTTTGAACCCATTAGTTAAATTGGACATATTAAGAGTTGTGTACGGTAATAAACCCTATATTGATAATTTTATTAAGAGTTAGTTGGGGTGAGTTATTGTTATGAGAAAATTGCCATCAATATGGTTGTTAAGAGAGTTGAGGCTCATTAGTAGTGGTTTAAAGACTCAATGGTAGTAATGTGAGTCAATAAAACTTAATGAATCCATTGGGTATGAGTGGGTAAAGATTTATGGGATTGGTAAGATAGAGAAATGAGGAATTATTATTAATATGATCCCTAAGAGTGGGACTATAATGATTTTCTTGCTTATGATTGTAGTGTGAATTATTTATGACACCTTTCAAGCTTGTGAGAAGCTCTGAAAGTTGGGATTGTAAAAGATAAACCTTTGATCTCTCAAAAGTTTCAGGTAACCGAGGAAAACATAACTTTATATAGTTGAATATTAATTAGTTATTGATTAAAAATGGGTTAATTTGAATTATGATTTATATTTTAAATTATAGATGCAATGAATAATTTGATAAATGAAAACCTTTTGCATATCACCCATTTGTGATTTATGAATTTACTTATGCATATTATTATAGGTGGAGAATTGTGATGTATAATATGTTGAACATATGGAGTATTTGAGTATAAGTATGTGAATTTATATGCCATGAATTGATTGTTTTCAATGCATATTATCTGTAAAATATGCATAACATGATTATTGGTGAGAGTTCGTCTAGGGAGAGAGTAGATTGATTTCAATCCACATGATATTGGCAGTGACTGTTGGAATCGAAAACTTACCTTAGCACCGATCGTTAGAATCAAAAGGTAGCTCGTGTCCCATAGTTGATTTGGGACCATCCCACTTGTTTTATGAGAGACTCGAACCTAACTAGTCTCTATCGGTTTATAAAGAGGCTAGATTATAGGTACGACACTCTATAATTGTTAATATTGGGAGAAATCGGATTACACAAGTGAGTGAGTTAACTCTGGCCTAGTAGCTTCTCACAAGTAAAAAGGCTAGGTTAGCCCGTGAAAGACGTAGCCATGTGGTAGCCACTAGTTTTATATCGGAGATAACATGAGGGTATAAGGTTTGCATTTGATTATGCATTTAAATTTGGCCACATGGTTATTAGTATTGTGGTATAATAAGTGTTAGGGGTGCGTGGTTGGTGTTATTGCCGCCCTATGATGTGCATGGACATTTGTGGATATGAATATGTGCCTTAGACCCGATCACATAGTTGTTAGTATTGTGAACCATGGCCAAGCCCATCATATGTGTTGTATTTGTGTATTTTTGCCTCTCTACATATGTTTTCAATTGATATGTAACTGTATAGGTTAGGTAAAATTTAGTTATTGAGTGGTTGTATTCACCCCTCAATTCTGAATATTTTCAAGGCCTAGTTCATCATATCCGAGTCAGGAGAAACACATAGAGGCTTAGGATTTGTAGAGTAATGCTTTTGTATTCTTCTTCTTCTTTTTTTATGTGTATGAATGTTAATACAATTGCCAACTAGGAATTACATGTTATTTTTTTACTACTTGCATTATTGTAGCATACAACTTGCGTGTTTTATATTCTGGATTAATGAGTTTTGGTTGTAAACCTATAGTTAGGGCCAACACTTATGCAAGTAGGAATACATGTACTTTGAATGATTTGAAATAAAAATGATGGTTTTGTATATGAATTTTCTCCCCCTTGTGTTTTGTGAAAATTAGAGTTGAGTAGTGATTTTAAGAAACATGTATTTTTGGTTATATATGGTGCATTGCACAGGTTTGGTAGAGTTTATTAAGTATGGTTAGAAGGTTAGTGTAGGCTTTTGGTACTTGAGATTAAGTTGAGACACCATGGTTGTGAAATTTTGGTGAAAAGTAGTAAAATAGATTTCAATGTTCATCTTTTTGGAGAAAATAAATTTTAAGTGTGAAATTTGTGCCATTAGCTATATCTAGGAGAAAGCTCTGTGTAGACATTGAAACCATGTCAATTAGATGTCAGACGAAGATTTGGGACGCATTCAAAATTCACTCCTTGTGCTGTCATTTGATAGCTGATATTTGTCAAATTCATGTAATGCACCGCTATGCATAGCACCTCACACCGCTACACATGACACAGAGGTGAGTAAGCCACAGCGCATATGTCCTAAACCATGCAAATGGGTTTTTTTTTGCATAAAACACTGTTTTGAGTTTTGAAACTCATTGCTTTATGTCCCATTTTGATTTTTTGAGTTTTTGCATTGTTTTTAAATTTTGATTTAAACATTTTAAGTGTGTGATAGAGGTTGAAAATTGAATTTTAGGGATCCTGATGTAATGACTTGAGAATTACTCATTTATATAATTTTACAAACTTGATAATTCTTTGTGGGTTTAGTCCCTTGATTACCTCAATTCTAAAGTTAATTGTAATTTAGTAAGGGAAACCTTACAAGATGAAGTCAACCATGAAAGACAGATGTGATCGTTGGGTAGATTTGAACAATAATGGTGGCCGAAATTTAAAATTAACCCTATTTGTGTGAGATGAAGAGATTGCTTAGAGATAAAAGTGCTGTTTGAAACTGTTTTTATTTTATTATTTTGAGAACTGTTGTTTTGTAAAACATCTTGAGAATATAAAAATAATAAAAATATGTTTTTTCTTATTCTTCCTTGTTTTTCAAAACAATAATCTTAGAACATCTAAAAGTTATTTTTATTTTTCTATTTTTTAAAATAATATTTTATCCTTTTGTTTTCTAAAATATTTTTTTGAAAATACGTTACCAAACAAATTTTTTTATTGTTTTGTTTTGAAAAAAATTATTCCCAAAACAAGTTGCCAAACATGCTCATAACCTTTAATGTTGTATAGAGCCTATTCTGTGCAAATAGCCAGATGAGATAGTCCTCTTGTTCATGACCGGACAAAGGAATCAATTTGATTGCAAGGATAAATTCTTCATGAACCAGACCTATAAGTTGTGATAGATCCCATTGACAATTGAAAATCATATTTTCAACAAAGCTACTTTCTTCTATTGTTGGATCCTCACATATCGACATCGTATGATTATTAATCGTAGGGTCGTGCAAAAGTCTCGTGGTCTGATTCAGTCCGATCCAACCCATGAAAACCCAGCCCTGTAAAATGCTGGTCCTATAAGACTAAAAAGACCAAAAAAAACATGACTAATTTTTTGGATAAGACCAGCCTAGAGACCAAGCATTTGGACTAAGTAGTTCGGTCTAATCCTATATAAATATTTTAATATAACTAAAATTAATTTATAAATTGTTAATTAATAAGTTTTAGTCTTCTAACTAAAAAAAAAGTCTTAGTCTTGCCTTGCACTTTGCACTTTGACCGGAAAGAAAAACTCAACACTGTTGCATAGCTTACTCAACAACATTCAGCCACTCACTTGACTCTGCTCCCATTTTCAGTTTCTTCAGTACGCTAAAGCCCAGCCCCTGCCCTCCTCCTGTGCGCCACCAGCCCACCTTTATCAATCACATTTATATATTGCATCATCTAATTTATATATTGCATTTTTATAGTTACTAATTACTTTATATATGCGTATATATAATTTATTTTTGACTGATGCTTCAAGTGTTATTGATGCAAAGGAGATAATCATTTGAAGATTTGTTGAGTTTGTTTTTGTTGAAGCTAAGGAGATAATTACATGATAGATGTAATGTAATATTGAACTTTGTTGAGTATTTTTGTTGAAGTTAGACTTAAATCATTTAGTTTTTGGATTGTAATTGAAATATTTTTTTTCTTGATGCTAGAAATCATTATGGATTTATTATGATTATAAGTGTTTTTATTATCGTAATTGAGTTTATTAGGTTGAAATGGATTATTGTTATCATAGAGAAAAAAAAGGTCAAGTGAGTACTGACTAATAGGACCAATTTCCCGATCCTATGAACCAAGTCAGGTTCTGTTAATCTCCGGGTTATCACAAAATCAAACCAGACTACGAGTTGTCTAACCCAATCCTTTTCATGAAAAGGACCAGACTTCAGGAGTTCAATTCCATCCAATTCTTTATGCAGCTCTAATTAATAGTAGGGGATCCATTTATCTTTGTATATTTTCACTGACTTAACATTCCCTATTTGCCGATACAAGTCCCTTTCCAAGAAGGGCCTACCATCTAATAGATTAGTCCAACACCAAGATGCCTCATACCCTTTGCTAGTTGAGAGAATATCATGCTTGGGGAAATACACTCCCTTAATAACGTGTGCCTGAAGATCATGGAGGTTTTGTAATAGTCACCACGTCGTTTGGCTAAAAGCGCATCATTAAACAGAATAAAGTCTTTAAATCCCATGCCTCCTTCCTTTCTTTCATTGATAAGTTTCTCCCAAGTAACTTAGTGTGTCTTATTTGCACTTTGAATTCCATCTCACCAGAAATTAGAAATGAGACTATTCAACTCCTTACTCGACTTGACAAGGAATTCGAAATAAATCATAGAATAGATTGGGATTGCATTAATTAGAGCTTTGATTAACACCTCTTGTATAGCATAAGAAAGATGTTTATGGCCCATTGACAAATGCTCTATATAATTCAAATAAATCTTACTACAATTTATAGTGGTTTTATCCATGCTTCTATCATTTGAAAATCATATTTGCTACATGTATCAATATCCTTTAAATTCCAGATTTGAAAGCAACCTCTTGTACCTGAGAATCTAAATAGAAGCAACCTTATTCCTATTGCCTAACTTGCGCCATGTTTCAAACTCGAAAAACAGGCGATGCCTCCATCAAAAAGAAAAAAGAAAAAGAAGAAACAGATGATGCCTAGTTGGAACTCATTGAATAGATTCGCTGAAGCAACGTAAAGGGCAATCAACGCACATCGCTGTTACCGCCATGCAACCGAAGCAATGAAATCAATATTATTACTATCACTAAGGATATGTAGCAATATATAACAGATAAATAGGCTTACATTACAGTTTTGGCCATCTGCATGCTGATGTTTGGAAGAGATACATCCCTTAAAAACAAGTTGATAAATAGTCGCGGGACATGGTAGACCTACTTAGATGAAAGCTTTCAAGCGAAGTGCAAACACGTGATTCCGCTAATCCTCACGGATTCCCCCTTTCCAATGTTGACCATGTCACCTGTCACTTTCAGTGTCATCTCTGATAATTTTTAATTTCAAATTATCATATGTAAATACAGGAACACCAAATTACATGAGGAAATAGTGAAATAGAATCTGCGTAATAGCCAAGCTCAATACGCTAAAGAACAAAGAAAACTAGGATGGTAGAAGGCATTAGAAAAGAAAGTAGACCTCATGTGGTTTTACATGTCATCTGGTCCTTGAGTAAGCTAGCAACGTGCCGGGCCACCCATAATGAGCCCTCCTCTGTGCAACAGAAGCTATGGGTGTGGTTTTCTCGTTCGATTGATAAGGTAACATCTGGAACTTGTCTGGAAAGCTGTGACAAGAAAAAAATAATTACAGTAACCAAGACAATCATCCGATGCTCTCTATATTTGAAGAAGTCAGCCCACAAACAGAAAAAAGTTAGTATGGGAGCTGATCAGCCTATGCAAAAATCAGAAACACTACAATCATATGACAAGCACAGCGGCAATCAAGGATCGCCTTCACTGTAAAGAGCAAGAAAACCATAATTTTTCCCACTATTTTCCCATTGTTTAGTTTTAACATGTTTTAAGTATTTGTTTTCTGTAATTTCTATTTAGCATAAAACAGAAAGATATACTTTGTTCAAAAACCAGTTCAAGATTCATTAAAAAAAATCAGTTCAGGAATTTATCACCATGAATCTCAACATGTGTAACTCCCACAAGTTTAATTACTTGATAGAACACTGACAGTCCCTCCTAGTGAATCTTATTGTCAACTAGAGACTTACAAAGGAATCATCAACATTTTACTTTGCAAAAATCCCCTCTTCCGACAAGCATACAATTACCAGATTGTTCAGTCATTGGCTGCCGATTTCACTCCTAGAATCTGCAAACCAACCCCAACTATGGGGAGGCGGTTGCAACATTTTGAAACCATAAAAGGATGCCAATACTACCATATAAACTCAAGTACATAATTAGCCAACCCACATGATGCAAAGAGGGCACCCTTGGGCTCAGATGCAAAGCATAAACCTTTTTTGGGGACAGATGCAACAGCATGCTATATCTCACCAAAAATAATGGAAACTACAACATTCGCATCACTTACCTCTTCATGAACTTCAAGTGGACCCCAGTGATCATCAACACCATATAAAAATGCAAGTTGAGTCTTCCTTTCTCTTATAAAGGCCCAATCTGGTGTCTCTGAAAGCTAACACAGAATGCTCTGGTAAGCACATGATGGTCAGTCAATGTAGTTTAGCAGAGTTTGCTACAGAAAACAATTAGTTAATTAGTTGCAGAGACAAGTTTAGAAAAAATATAGGAAAATCAATTTTCAGTGATAAAAGATCATATGCATCACAATTTGACAGCATGTATTAGTTATAGTCATCCAAGATGTGCTATAGGCAATGAATCTGGTCAACTGAACCAGGAAATGAATAAATAAATGAAGACAATTCAACGTCCAAACAGCCATATACATTCCTTCCAGGAGCCTTGAGGCCACAGTCATTCTTTCTTCATTCCTTGATCAATTAACAAGAAATTTCTCTATATATCAAGAAATTTTGTGCATCGTATCAACTTATGAAAGATGGCATATGCATCTGAATGCAAGAATGTCATGTCAATATCAACATATCAAAGCAGCGCTAGCAGTTCTGATAGGCTCACTGGGTTGTGGGGAAGGGTTTACCAGGGCAAACTGGATCACAAAGGAGCTGGAACCTACAGGACTTGACAGAGGAAGAGAGATCCAACCAAACACACAATAGACAGCATGCTCGAGTGCAAGGGGAAATCTGAATAAGGGATAACGACCCTAACTGGCAGCATCAGTTTGTGCACATTAATAGGTGGCATTTTGAGGGGAAGGTATGGAATAACTGTCGTGAGTGTAGGAGAGAACCTGATCTCTCAAAAATCAGGCTGTTGGGGAGGGGAAGGTTACCAATTACCACCACCTCCACTGTTCTTATTTTCATTACTTTTCTGCGTTTGTCAGTGCGCGCTTTGCAATTTTGATGTGCTGTTATTGTGTGTTAGTCTCTTTTTCAGTCTTCTTCCTACTCATTGGAGGAGACAAGTTTGTTCATTTCAGCGAAAGTTATAGTGGTCTATCAAGTTCCCACTGTTTTTGTTTTTGACTGTATGTCTAGCATGGACAGGACATGACATGTCGTGTAAAACCAAATCTTACATATTAAGTTAATATCAGCAATCTCATAATTAGTCAGATTAAATGGAAGATTGACAAGATAAAAATTGAAGAAAGACAGTTCGATGTCAAAAATATTGAATTTAAAACCACAAGTCTTGCAAAGAAGAAGCAACTTTACCTTTTTAAATTCTGTCTTTGCCATAAAGAGGATATTCCGCACTGTATGATACTGAAAGTTGTTTCAAGTTAAAGAGTTATGAAAAAGATGCAGACATGACTAGAAAGTAAAATACAGATTGGCCATAAGGGAAAGGTATATATTTCTGTCCATTAGTATTTTAAATGTTAAAGTGGACTTCCAATTAGCAAAATTTTTTTACAGGTTTACAATGTAACCTGTGCTATCTTTTTCAACAGTAAAAACAAACCTTAGACAAGTGAGAGCATGCAGCCTCAACTGCATTGGGGGACCAGGATGGCCCAAGAGATTTTCTGACCAAATACCCAAACGCCGATGTAGGCAACAATCCTAATAATGCTATGATGTAGCTAAAAGCAGCGGATATGAATGGGGATCTGAAACTCCAAATACTTCACTCAGATTTTCAGAGTGGACAAAGTCAAAGCGATATGGCTATAGGACAAGAACTTACCTGACATGCTTTACTATATTAGTTTGCTTTCTTGACTTCTGGTTTAATGTCAAAAATGGATAAAGTGCAACGCAATATTTCACCTACAGAGGCCGGAAGGAAGGACAGCGTTCCATTTTAAGTGAAGCAAGCTAGCACAATCTAAGCCAAATATGCAAAGAGTTCCAATCACCTTCTCTGGAGACCGCTTAAAAACCTCAATGGAAATGTATGAACCAATAGAGTGTCCAACCTGGTGAAAAATTTCTATATCAGCTATCAAAATGTTTGATTAATTAATTTAAAAATTTTATCAATGCAACACAAATGCTTTTGGTTAACATGATTTTGCAAAAAGCATTGAATTAATTTCTTCTTGCAGGATGGTTATGCAGTTTCCCATGACAATAGCAGCATAAATTTTAAATCAAGAACATGAAAGTAACAACTACTTGCTAATAATTTTGGCCAAGAACCACATATAGTTGGCTCATTTACCAACATCTGATTGTTGCCTTTTTCAAGTAAATAAGAAAAGGCTTGCCATATAAATGCACGCAGGTACTGAGCTGAAGGAAATTCTTTCGTGGCTAGGGCAAGCGGCACCTCAGGATAGATATGACAGAACATCTCTGACTTAAAAATATTATACATAATCTCGTAGACTTTCTTTCTTTAACAGCAAACCCAACAAATTATTTCCTCAAACATACCTGAAACTCTAAATAGTTGCTTATTTTTCATTTAAGCCAATCCATTTGTAAGCAACTTGTAAGTCAACACACCCTCTGACATGTGTTACTCTAAAAGTAAGGTAATTTACTGCATCAAACTTGTAGATGCCTAAACACTAATGTCATTAGCCACAAGCAAAAGATTTGCATCTACTACAGTTAATCATCAGTATTTTCCAGAAAACGGGAGATTTTGCCTAGCATGCCGTAATTTGGTTTTTTCATCCATACAACTCATTAGATAATTATTCATTTGTAGTAAAAACATATCAAACAAGATATTAAAAGATTAACGTGGCTTTAGATGCATAATGGAAGGAGTAGATATAAATGGACCCACCAGTAGTATAGGAATGTCAGCATTTTGCAATTCCTCTCTGATGAAAACAATCTACAGAACACAGGAAAAGGGAAGAATACAACAAATAGGTCAGCACAAAGTAAATGGGAATTGAAGAGATGCTGGAGAAATGGTGTAAATATGAAAGAGCAGAAATTAGAAAAACACAACATGCTAATTCAGAAAACAAGTGTGGTGTCGCATCTAACATAATAGAATAAATAATGTAGTTCTAGGCTAAGGTTTGGCACAATAGGATGATGCAGAAGCATAGGCACATGTATCGTAAATATTTCCAGATTGAGCAACAACAATTTGATAAGTTAGAGATGCTTAGTGGAAATTTACGAACTTGAGACTTTTAGCATGTTCCGATTTGTTAAGTTGTACTTGTAATCTAGAAACTAACATTTGCTACAGTATCTCAAGTGTTGCCAACTTGAAAATGATAATTCAAACAACCACTTGTCAAGATGTCAAACCCCCACCAGCTGACATTCTGTCAAGAGCATCCAAGCATAGAATTTACCTTGTGATTGATCTGTTCTTCTAATGAGAATAACCGCCCACGCTCCCAATCCTAGCAACAAAACTCTGCATCAAACGCACGCAACTATATAGAAACAACTAAAGGTACTGCAGCCTTCACATAAACGTAAATTAATGTACCTTTTTTGTGTGAGAGATGTGGCCAATAGCTGATATGTCGAAAAAATTTGACCAAAAAACATCAGTCGCGGTATCATGTTAAGTAACGAGAAAGAAAAGGATGAGTTTACTTGCCTGTGATAGAAGCGCTTCCTCCAAGCTGTTCATATAGAAACTCAATGAAGTCCACATAAAATGTGACAACACCTGCGGTAAGTGGAAAACCTAAATGTCATTATTGAGCAAAGGTAAAACATAAAGGCAGAAGCATACCAACAAACAGTCGATTGCACACCTGGGTTTCCAGGTATAAGTAGAACATGAAAACTTGGATCATCGGCATGAATCTCCAACAATTCAGTGGTGTAACTAAATAAGAATATGATACGAAACTCGTGATTAAAAAAAATGGTCATAATTCCTTACCACAAAAAGTAAATAGTCATAATCTGACTAAATAGACAAATATATGTTATAGAAGTACCCTGATACATTGCATAATCGAAAAGTGGCACGTTTTTTAGATTTGGAAAGTAGACTTTCAGTAACCATGTTCTCAGTTGCGCAGTTTGCTGTAAAAATGGTCCTGAAAGAAAAAGTTACTGGGTAAATTTACGAAATCGAACAGCTGAAACAGCTAAAATTAAATGTCCGATAGTTCAGTAAATAGAATTCGGATAGACTGTAAATAATCGAAAATGTATGAGTGAATTGAAGTTGTGACCACTTTCGTAGACATTGGAACTGTCAGAGAATACAAGCAACGGAGAGCACCTGGAACTGCGAAGCAGTTGAGGGACGATTCGGACAGTTGATGAAGCAAGAAAGTGAAGCATAAGGTAATAATTTATGGCTGCAAGACCCCTTTGTTCCTTTAAATAGGACAGTGCGAAAGGAGAAGATCGTGGCCCGTGGGAATCGGTGAACATTTGACTTTGAGGGATAATATATTAATTTTTCATGCGCTTAACAAGAGAGAAGCAGTCAATTTATACATAGATAAGTTGATTAATTATCACACGCCATTGCGTCAATTTTATCGATTCATTTTTATGAAGCTTAATTTCTTAAAGAATTTGTGACTACAATTTAATCATATGAATGATTACTTGAGTGATATTTTAATGGATTTCATATCATATAAATTGATAAATTGTTGAATTTGTCCTTCTCAAAAATACTATCGTTCAATGACCAATTAGATTGTGAGCCCAAATTTTCCACGAGGTTTGAAGGGAATCATGGTAGTCATTAATTTATAAGTGTGCGGATATATAAGGATTTTATATGATACTTGTACTAGTATATACATATGGATATACATAATCTTTATTGCAGTTATCGTATGTATTTGGGTATCCATATAATTGTAATGCCAGTGAAAAGATTTACTGCACTGCTTTACGGGATTAGTTTATAATTATTGATTTGGCCAAAAACAAATTCGTGTCCTTGAGGATGAAGTAGGCGAGTAGGCGTTGAAAGTGGGCACAATCGGGTAGGTTGCATTGTAGCTACCTACCGCACAATGTGAAACCTGCTCCTAAAATTTGAATTTCTGGTGAACAAGTGAATTTGGGGAAATTAATTAATCGCTACCCACAGTTCATCCTTATTTTTAAATAACTCACTGTACTTTTTGTTTTTATCATTTTAACTTGCCCCTTATAAATTTCATTATTATAGTAACTTTCTACTAGGACTGTATAGAGGACTAATCCGATAGGATTTTAGCCTAACATGAAGGCTGGTTTTTTTTTTTTATTATTGAAAAGGATTGAGTTAGGTAACTCATAGTTTGGTCTAATCTTGATATAACCCAAAGCTAAACAAGACCGAATTGATCTAATAGGACTAACAGAGTAGTCCCTGTTTTGTCTAGCATTTCACTTTACTTTTTTTGTTCATCTATAAGAGGCAGTAATTTATTTCAACATAATGAACTCAATTAACATAATGAAATTATTTATAGTCATATAAAATTTATCACAACAATAATTATAAATCCACAACAATCTGCAACAACAACAAAAAGCATTTTTTTTAATGCATGGCCACAGTAAAAAAAATCATGCAAGGAGACCAAAATTAGGTCATATCAAAAGCCATAAGACTTCTACAGTCAATAAGTGGTCTGTCAAAAAGGGTAATATCAAAATGATCCCTCAAAACCTTGTGGGCTAGAAGATCAACATAACGATTGCTTTCTCTGTAAACGTGATCAAAAGTTACATTCCAATTTCTCATCATGAGGTTTTGAATGTTCCTTAAAATTGGTGTAAGAGGGTGGCTTTGATCGAAATTACTTTTAATAAGAGAAAGAGCCTCCATAGAATCAGAACAAACATTCAATTTGGTAATCTTAGCATCCCAGAATATGTTAAGACCGTCTAAAATCCCTACAAGCTTGGCTTAGTGCTGGATTGATAACTAAAATTTTCAGTAAATCCCTTAATTTAGTTCCCCTTATTGTCTTTGATAAGTCATCCATAAGTAGTTGTTTCATCATGCTTAATCGAACCATCAACATCAAGTTTAGCCTATCTAAATTTTGGTGAATTCCATCTAACTTCATGTCTGGAGTTTGTTCTGTTTAAAAAGTCAACTTTAGATTGGAGCTTCATATCGTTGATAATTTAGTTGGTATTAGAGAAAGCAATGTCATTTTTCACATTAGTATCTTCAAAGTAAACTTTTTGGCATTTTGCTTTCTAGATGTTGCAGTAAGCATGGGCAAAAAATTTTTGTTAAGGCCATCTTCATATAAATAGGCTTCATGCTTCATTTTTAACATTTTAAATTATTTAATCCTGCACAAAAAGAAAAAAAATCATGTTTGGATGGATATACTAATTTTTTTCAAACCTTCTTAGCAACAAAAAGTATTTTAGTTACAACACAAATGATTCAAATTAAAGAATCTTCAACAACATTAAACAACTTTTAACATGTCTAAAGTTTATTACACCAAGTTAACAACAAATTTCCTTAATAAAGGAGAAGATATAAGTTGGTCAATGTTAAAATTTTGATCAATATTCATAATTTCATAAGTATAAAATACAAAAAATTACTAATTATTATTATAAATTAACTTGTTGTAATAATAATTAATAAATTAATTATAGTTATATTAAATAAATTTATATGACTAAATCGGATCAAGTGGTCCAAATGTTCGGTCTTGTTTGGCCCAACCCGAATGAGGAATTTGATCTTTTTGGTATTGAAATACTAATTTTTATCCAGACCAAATTATCTTGGGTTGGATCGGATTAGATAATATTAAAGAATTTTTGCACAGCCCTACTCTATAAATTACTTGTGAATGCTAAGTTAAGGAGCCAGCAAACAACCAGAGAGATGACAACATTTCATGCACCCCATTATTATCTCAATTGTTGTCCCAGTTAAAAAAAAAAAAAAAAAAACATCAGACAATACGTGGATGTGATCAAGACCATATGTAAGGCTGTGTAATAAGACTGCTCCAAGTGATAGTTAATGCATAAATGAAAGCCCTGTTTTATTGGTTTGAAAACAGAGTACGGTGAGAACAAGCTTTCGGTTGATATTCTCTACCCATCTTTAGCTCTTTGTGCTTCTGCTCTGTTCTTTTCACTATGCCTTAATGCGATCTAAAACTTGTGAGGCTCACACGAAGAATGAGAACGACAACTTCTATGCAGCAGCAGGTCATCTTCAGCCTCTTATTCCATAATGAACACTACCATAAAATTAGTTAAATATAACGTTCCATACTTATCATTTATTTAAGCAAAAAAAACAAATAAACAAAGATGAAAAGTATTTGATAATTATTTAAAATAAGCATCAAATATTTGTTGAAATATTTTTTTATTATTTAAAATAATTTTTAAACAGTTACATGCATATTAATTTTTTAATAAGTTATACTTTCTCTGTTTAAAATTATAAAATATTTTTAAAAAAATTATATATTTAAAAATATAAAATATTTTTAATTTTTTAAAGTGTAATTATTATTTTTTTAAATTATTTTATTAATAATAATTTTATATTTATTATAAAGTGTTTAATAGAGATAAATATAAAAAATAAATTAATTTAAAAATAAATAATTATTTTATTAAAAGACAAAACTTAATTAAAAATATTTTATATATTTAAATAGAGAAAATATTTATTCGACTATTATTTATTAACAACCGTCAAAGTAAATGAACGTAAAGTTCAAAAACCCTACTCTGGACTCACTTTCATCGTTTGAATCTTGTCTCTGGACTTGCAAGCTCTTGTTGTCGATTCTTCGCCGCACAACTCCGACCACTCTTCTTTGCTTTTGAACACACATTGCTGGCAAAACGTACTACTGAAGTTCTTCAACGCACGTATGAAATCTGTCAATGCGCTGTACGATTGAACTCGTGCAGCTAGAGATTCTTCGATTAAAAGCTTTCAAACTCATTCTCCTTTGGTTCATTTATTTGGATTCTTGGTGTGTATTGGTTCCACTGTTGGGCGTTCCTTGAAATTTGTGGTTTAGGTCATTTTGTTGAACTCGAGGCAAGAAGTTTTACTCGATGAATTTGCTTCTGTTCATGGCTCTTCCCTTCACTCAATACATTTACTGCGTCTGCTCACTGTGTTCGAGATTGTCACTAGGTATCATTAGAGGCAATGCTTGGTCACAAATGGTCAGTTTTTGAGGTCTTGCTTGTTCATTATACTGCCTCTCTCTTTTGCTAGTTCCTTTTTACAATCAATGAGTGCTGTCAATTGCATTTTGCGGCACTGGAAATGTGTACCTTTTTTGGGAATGGTTTTGATTTCGTGATTAATGTATCGACATGATGAATTTTGGGATCAATTTTGTTTAGATCACTTGTTTGGCTAAGGTTGGGCATTTCTAGCCGAATGATGCTTGCTTAAACCATAGCCCCTCTAAGTTTTTAAAAGCAAACATTGAGTAGTTATTTCTTAATCTTTCAATCGGATAATATTTGAGAAGTTTGTTTGTGCATATGCTGGTCAGGATGCATGAGGAAGAATGTTACTCCAAACTACTACAGAGCTTGTTAATTCCATTTCTTGATTTCTTAATGTTTTAGATAATATCATTTCTGAAACAATGGGAATTAATAATTATTTAACAATGACCTTCTTATGTACGTGGCAGATTGAGGATTCCTCTTTGAAGTTAGATAATGCTACTAATGTTAATCATAAACTGGCAATGCTGCAGAAGGTACATTTGGATAAGTTATCAATTAAGATATAATTTCTTCTGCTTCCCTTATATTTCTTTCTCTATGCTAGAAAATCTAGAATCAATTAAATATATGCTATATTTAAAGTAGCAATTTAGCTGGCCGTTCCATGATAATATTAAATCTAATGTTATTACGGTTTTCTATTTTCTGTGAATTGCTTTATGCCTCTAGTTTTTTTATCACTCACATGCATGCTTACATGTTTCTTGTTTGATGTTTTGGATGCAATTGCCCAGAACAACCTTGATATTGTCTTCAATTATTTTTCTCACACACACACACACACACACACACAAAGTGCTTGATGAATCGCTTACAAGAGAGATTTATGATTGAAGTCCATGACTAGTTTGCGTCTTCTATTCGTTTCTGATACATGCGACATTTCTCAATCAGATGGCCAAGTTGCCCACTTTCTGGCATTTTTTCAATTTTATCTGCTGTTTTACTCCATGTAAGTTGGATTTTTCCTTCCTTCCTATTCTTTTTGTCATAATTTTTTTCAATATTATAACTCAAGAAGTAGGGTAAGTGTGTGAAACTTACTATCTGACATTATAGAAAAGTCTAACAAAAATTCGAAGTTGGTTTTTGACTTTGATATTCATCCCACAAAAGGTCAAGTGCCAAATTGTAATAATTTCTTGGACTCATCGCTTTTCTTAAAACATAAAGTTTGAAGATGATCATAAAAGGCTTCTTCTTTTCAGGCATTTATCTTAAGAGTGGGGCTACATAATGACTGGACCACAATTTGAGAGTTAGTTTTGGTTTCTATGTAGGCAGCTCCCACATTATGTAATATTCTTTGCACATGAATTTTGTAGGACTTAAAGTTCATGGCGATAACAAAAGAATTAGTGTTGCAAAAATACTTCCTGCAGCGCCACCAGTGAACCACAATTATAAAAAGAAGACTGATTAAAGGTGCCAACGTTGATCAAAGTTGAGGACAAATGAACAACTTATCGTGGAAAGGCTAATTGCATGGAATTATTATTACAACCACTTTTTAGGTGTAGCGTTGAAGAACTTAAAGAGTTGTATTCTTATAGATTTCTTTTAAAACCAAGAGTTGCATTTGGTGGAATTAGGGAGCAAATGCAAATTATATATTAGTGATTTGTATTTTTTTTCAATTAATAATAATAATAGTTTGTTTCTATATTTTGATAAAACAATTTTAATTTGATTTTTACATTTTTAATATCAAAAATAAAATATTAATAAAAATAACGATATAAAAAAGACTATTCTATTCAACAATTATTTTAAAAAATTGTTTAAGGGTTGCTTTAAATAACAATCAAATAAAGTAGCTTTATTTGACCCTTGTTTAGAATAAACGTCAAATAAAGTGATCTTATTTAATGGTTTTTCATAGTGAAAAACTATCAAATAATTTTAAATCATGCCTGCATATTTGACCTTTATTAATTGTCGAATAAGATCTAAAATAAAATCATTTTTATAGCAGTGGAATATGTAGATGGATTTCAATGTCTTAGCATTAAGAAGTGAATTGATCCTTGATTCTCAAAATGCAGTTTGGAAAGCACCTTTTATTGGGGCCTACACTGCTTATAGACTCATCTTGTTCAAGAAGAATGAATTTTACTCATCCAGGGCTCCAAAACCTCAAGCACTGAAAAAGAAAATTTCTAGTGTGAGAAGCTTCACCTTCTCTCTAGTTTCTTAGAGAAAAGGTTCACCTTCTTGTTGCCTTCGATTATCTCTCTCTTCTTTTGCTACCTCCAATGAATTCTCATCACAAACTAGATCCAAACTTTACTTTTGTTGCTGCTATTTTATCTCATCAAGTATCTCTTAATCCTCTTGCTTCCAAGGAAGAAATAGATTTACTCAACAGAAATATATCCAAGCTAGATGATATTATGTCTGACAGAAACAAAGAATCGCATTAGCACTCAGATATCCAGAATTAACAGGAAAAACATAACCAAGATGAGATGCCAGGTATTAATCAACAAGAACAACCAATGGAAATTCAATTAAATGGATCTTCTGGAAACACTACCCTGCCAATCAAACCAAATGCTATAGTACAAGGAGCCAAAATACCCATCTCCTATAAAGATTCTCTAATTGGTTATAATGGCTGCTATAGCACCAACATAGGTAGAGAAGCTAAACAGCAAAATGAATCCCTTGCTAAAGAACTAGAACAAGAGTGGATACCTTCAAAAAGAACTAAGAAATTGATGGATCAATATCTAGCCCTACAAATTTCAAATGATAAATGGAAAAAAAATATGTTTGCCTTGGATGGATGCCATTGTTATCAACACTCTAGGTCTACAAATTAATCTGAAATCACTTAAACTCAGGCTAGCAAGAATGTGGCAATTGAAAAATTTTGAACTGATTGATCTCGTGCATAGTTACTATATTGTCAGAACTAAAGATCAATCTGTTTGTGACAACATCCTTAGTCCAAAGATGCCTCCCAGTTTCAACCCAAACTTAAATATTCTGGGCAAAATTGCATTATGGGTACGACTAACCATTATTCCTATTCAGTGGTATGACAAAGAAATTCTCTGGAGGCTAGGAAATTGTATAGGAAAAACATTGAAAGTTGATTCTAATTCTCTCTCTGAATCGGACACCACAGACAAGAATGGTAAAACAGAGCGTGGCAAATTTGTTAGAATTAGCATAGAAGTGGATCTTCAAAAGAAGCTTGGTCCCAGGCTCTTAATCAAAGATGAGCTTTTTAATGTAGAGTACGAGAGCCTAAATTTAATCTGTTTTAGATGTGGGTGTTATGGTCATAATAAGAATAGCTGCAATCAAAATCTGAAGAACAAAAACCCAGAGAAAGAGAAGGAGAATGATGCAATACATGCTAAAAATTTCACCGAGCAAGCTCCAGTCCCATCAAAAAGCAACACAAAAGAAAATGAAAAAGGAAAATAAAGTTCTAGAAACTCACCAAACTCTTATCAGGATCTGCCAAAGAAGGAGTTTGGAGAATCTGGCGAGACTTTAGATGGGCAAAAAGTGCATGAAATCCAAGATACCCAACGGATAATCGCCTATCATGTCCTAATCAAGCTACTAACCCTATTCTTGAACAAGATTCGACGTCTTAGTACAGCTAAATCAAGACGTAGAAGAACAGGGGCAACTCAATCCGGCCGTTATAGGTAATGGTCCATCTAAGTCGTCCTCGCCTATTAAAAATGTCAAACAAGTATGGAGGAAGAAAGAAGTTGTAGGTATAAAAAGGGTGAGATCTTTTGAGTATGATATGATAGCAAAAATAAGGGCAAAGGAAAAATGAACGAAAATGAAAGAGAGATCAAGAACTCGTGGACTGGGCTCACTTTCTCGTAGGAAGGCCTAAGTTCTTTTAACTTGAATACAAAAGCAACTAAGGAAAAGCAGGCCCAAAACAAAAATAACAGACCCACAAAATAGATCCATAATGTGGTAAAGGCAATAAAAGAAGTCTTGCCAAATCAGTCAGGCCCATCAATGATCAAAACAGCCAAAACGATTGTGTCAATGTAGCTGATAGAATGAAGGAAAATAGAAAAATTTATGCACCTAATCTTAACGTCTAGGGAGCTGAAAATACTTATACTGGAATCAAACCAAACTCTCAACCCCTTCTTGTCCAATTAATAGATCATAGTAGACCACCAGACCCAATGGAAAGTCAATCAGTTGTTCCAGAAACCCAATTTAATGACATTGCTACAATGAATCATCAAACCGATACCTTAGGACCTGTTGAAGCGAATAAAATTCCTCATGAGAATTAAGATGATGAATTTCTGGATGATGATCTCTTGGATGAGGATTTCTAGAATCAGTCCCATAATAATGATCTTTAAGATGACGAATTCAATGATAATCAAATCGAAGAGTCAGCTCAGTCTCCCAGCGTGTAATCATATCCCAGGTTTATCTCCTCCTTTTATTTATTTTATAGATATTATCTGCTGGAATTGTAAAGGTATTTATTCTAAAAGCTTCCCTAAATGTATTAGAGAGATAACCAAAACATATAATACTTAAAATTTTGTCAACTAAAGCTAGTAGGGCAAAAGCTGATAATATTGTTAGGAAACACAGTTTTTTTGATTGGTTATGCATTGAAGGTATTTATTCTAAAAGCTTCCCTAAACGTATTAGAGAGATAACCAAAACATATAATACTTAAAATTTTGTCAACTAGAGCTAGTAGGGTAAAAGCTAATAATATTGTTAGGAAACACAGTTTTTTTGATTGGTTACACATTGAAGCCACGGGTTATGCTGGTGGTATCTAAATTTTATGAAATAATGATATTGTTAATATTGATTATATTAATTCTAATGTTCAATTGCTTTACTATAGGGTTAACATTTTAGCTACTAACAATAGTTACATGCTCTCTTATGTTTATGGTGATCCTTTTTCGCATAATCATGGCCTTCTTTGGGATTCTATCATCTCTTTAGCTCATAATACTACCGATCCCTGGCTTATTGTTGGAAATTTTAATTCTTATCTTTCTTATGAACATAAGTCTGGAGGTAATAGTTATAATTAGAGATTTATGAAACAATTCAGACACTGCATTAATTCTTCCAATATTCTTGAATTAAATTACCATAGTGAAACATTTACTTGGGAAAAAGGCAAGGTCAAAAAAATGACTGGATTAGACTTTTTGCAATACAAATTGGAGACTTAAATTTCATCAGGCTGATTCTTTTCATCTTATCAAATATGGTTCCGATCATCATCTAGTTAGAATTCAACTATAGAAAAAAGATCATCATGGCTACCACTCCACACCTTTTAAATGCCATACGGCTTGGATGCTTGAAGACTCTTTCCACCTTTTGGTTAAGGAATCTTGGATGAATGAGGATTAGATTGAAGGGGCCTCTAATTTAGCTAATCTGCCCCTAAATGGAATAAGAAGAAAATAGGCAATATCTCCTCCAAAAAGAATAGAATCTCGTGTCGCTTGGAAGGTATTGACAAAAGTAGAAATACCAAAGACAATTACTTTCTAAGGAAGCTAGTAAAATCACTTTGGGAGGATTATAACTATACCCTCTTACAAGAAGAATTAATTTGGTTCCCAAAATTAAGATGTAAATGGTTAAAATGGGCGATCAGAATGCTAAATTCTTTTATGCTATACCTGTGATTAGATGGAAAAGCAATTAGATTTTATCTCCTAAAGATGAAGAAGGTAATTAGGTTCATGATCTTAACAAGTTGAAAACTATGGCTGCTTCTTATTTTGACAACCTCTTCAAGGAGGATACCATTGCCAAGCCAAATTTGATTACCGAAAGAAGCTTCCTTCCATTATCTTATACCCAACTTCAATGCCTTCACAGGAATGTGTTTGATGATGAAATCAAAAATACCACTTTTAATATTAGAGCCTTTAAAGTACCTAGTTTTGATGGTATTAACGCAAGTTTCATTCACACCTATTGGGATAATCTGAAACATAGCATTTTTAAATTTGTCAAAAAAGTTTTCAATGATTTGAATCTATTGGGATGATTAATGAGACTTTCATCATTTTGATCCCCAAGATTGATCATCCCACTTGTTTGAAAGATTTTCATCCAATATCTCTTTGTAACGTTAGCTACAAAATTATCACTAAAATTCTTTCTTATCACCTTCGAGCCTATATGAATCACCTAATCAGTAATAATCAATGTAGCTTCATACGGGGAGACAGAGTAATGACAATATCATCATTGCTTAGGGAATCATTCACTCTATGAGACATAAAATGGGTAAAAAAGGGTTCATGGCTATTAAAGTAGATCTCGAGAAGGCTTTTGATAGATTCTCTTAGAATTTCATTAACGATACACTTAAGTCTATTGGGTTAAATAATCACCTTAGAAATTTGATTCAAGCGGCTATCTCTACCACACGAATGCAGGTCTTTTAGAATGGAGTTCCTTCTGAGAAATTCACACCTTCTCGAGGCATCCGTCAGGGGGACCCGCTTTCTTATTACCTTTTTGTGCTTTATATGGAACGTTTAGGTCATTGCATTAATAATAGCATTGATAATAATGAATGGATGCCAATCAAACTAATAACTTACGAGCCTCTAATTTTTTACTTATTTTTTTCTAATGACTTTTTACTTTTTGCAGAGTATTCGCTATCCCAAGCCATGATCATGCAATAATGTCTTTCTGAATTTTGCAATGCCTCTAGGTAGAAGATTAACATGGATAAATCCAAGCTCTTTTGTTCTAAGAATGTTAACATCAATAGAGCTCCGCAAATCAATGAAGAGTTAAGGATTCCTCTCACCAACAATCTTGGTAAATATCGGGGAATTCTCATTATTTATGAAAGGGCTTCCAAGCTTACTTTTTCCCTTCTTCTTGTAAGACAAGCTTGAGGTTGTCTAACTGGAAAAGCCATTATCTAAACTTAGCTGGAAATCTGTGCTTATCAAATCTATTCTTTCAGCTCTCCCCAACTACATCATGCAAAGTATGCTCCTTCCTGACAATGCTCTAGCTAAATTGGAAAAAAGTTCTAGAATTTTCTTTAGAATTCTTCTAATGGCATTACAAAACCACATCTAATCTCTTAGGACTATATTACTAAGGATAAAAAGGAAGGTGGTCTTGGCATTAGAAAGCTTAAAAATCAAAATATTGCATTCATTATAAAACTTTGTTGGGTCTTAATTTCAAAACCTAACTATCTCTTGGTGTGTATCCCTCGTAATAAATACAAATGCAATAAACCCAAAATCTCTATGGTTGTCAAGCCTGATTCTTGCTCTTATACCTAGAGTAGTATATGTAAAATTTGGGATAAATTTATGTATCGTGTTGGTTGGAAAGTTGGTAAAAGAGATAAAATATCTTTCAAGTATGATAAGTAGTCTTCACTCTTGAAACCTCTTGTTAGTTATGCTCTACCCAATGCTGACTCTATCTTGCATGCTAGAGTTGCTAACCTATGCAATAATGCAAAAGGATGGAATATAGATCTTCTAAGCCATTATCTTTACTTTATTGTAATCCAGCAGATATCCGCTGTTCAACCTCCCAATCACCAAAATGAAGATGATGTTCTAATTTGGAGGCCTTCTTTTGATGGCAACTTTTCAATTAAATCTGCTTATAAAGCTTTGGAAATTCATAAGGACCAAAATCACTCTGATATTTGGTCTAAGAGTTGGAAATAGCCCACTTATGAGAAAATAAGACATTTCCTTCAGAAAGCAGCTTGGAATCATCTTTAAAACAACTACTCACAACCTTTTGGGGATCCTGCACAAGCCAATGCCTGCCTTTTTGGTTGCAATTTCTCTAACTCCACCATTCATATTCTAAGAGATTGTAAAGAAGTAAAAGAGGTATGGACAAAATTGGTCAACCCTATAAAACTTTTCACTTTTTTCTCTTTTAGTTTGCTAGACTGGATAGTTTAAAATGCAAAGAATGAAGCAGGGAGCTTGCAAACAAGAAAAACAACTTGGCAAAGTCTTTTCACCAAAGTTTGCTGGAATATTTGGAAAATTAGATGCAAGAAGCTTTATTCTGAAGATGAGATCCTGGATAGCAATATTATCTTCTCCAGCAAACAACAAATCAACAGTGACATAAAGCTTCTTTCCAAATTCAATCATTTGAATAAAGGAAGCACTAATTATGACGTTAATTGAAAACTACCTGAAATTGGTTGGGTTAGACTTAACACTGAAGGTATAGTTAATATTAATGGCATTGCTACTTGTAGAGGCATCATCAGAGATGACATAGAAAATTGGATTAAAGTTTTTTCCAAGCACATTGGATATCTACCCAGCACTGCAGCTGAGCTTATAGGAATCCACGAAGGCCTTATCCTTTACTGGAATGAAAGGTTACCTAAAGTTAATGTTCATATTGACTCGATAGAGGCATTATCTCTC